AAAATGTACCTTTTATTTTTAAAAGGGGGTGATCATACAAATATATTTATATATAAATTAGTATATTATCTAATATTTATATGTTTAATCTACCTTTTTCAAAATAATACCAGTATTATTACCAATAATATACTTATAAAAAAGATTTTTTTTGTGCTTTTTGTTCTTAAGATAAAAGGATAGTCAAAATACCAAGTTCTAAGCCCACTTGAAAAAAATGTCCAGCTGGGCACAGTGTCGTGCACCCTAATTTCATCTGCTTGGGAGGCAAGAGGCTGAGACGGGAGGATCACTTGAAACCAGGAGTTTGACTCCAAGAAGAACAACCCTAACTCCTGGGCTCAATGGTCTTCCTGCCTCAGTCTCCTGAAGGCCGAGGGAACTAGGCCCATAAGCACATGCCACTGCACCCTCATTTCCCTATTGTTAACATCTCGTATTCATAAAATACATTGGTACGATTAATAAAACAACACTGATACATTATTGTTAACTCAAGTCTATATCCAGATTTCCTTAGTTTTTACATGATTTTTTACCTTAAAAAATGAAATATTATATACTATATCATATTTATATGCCACCACCCATTTTTTTTTAGATGGAGTCTCACTCTGTTGCCCAGGCTGAAGTGCAGTGGCATGGTCTCAGCTTACTGCAAACTTCACCTCCCGGGTTCAAGCAACTCTTCCGCCTCAGCCTCCAGAGCAGCTGGAACTACAGGCATGTGCCACCACACTCAGCTAATTTTTGCATTTTTTTTTTTTTAGTGGAGACGGCATTTCACCATATTGGCCAACCTGGTCTGGGACTCCTGACCTTGTGATCCACCCACCTCAGCCTCCCAAAGTGCTGGGATTATAGGTGTGAGCCACTGCTGGCTGCCACCACCTTTTACAAATAAAAGGCACACTTTCTTTTTGTTTTTGAGACAGGGTCTTATTCTGTCTCCACTGGAGTGCAGTGGCACCATCTTGGCTCACTGCAGCCTCACCCTCCTGGCTCAAGTGATCCTCCTACCTCAGCCTCTCAAATAGTTGAGATACAGGCATGCACTACCATGCCTGGCTAATTTTTGTATTTTTAGTAGAGATGGGGTTTCACCATGTTGCCCAGGCCGGTCCCAAACTCCTGAGCTTAAGTGATCTACCTGCTTCAGCCTCCCAAAATGTTGGGATTATAGGTTTGAGCCATTACATCAGTGAGATACAGAATATATGTATTTATTTATTTTTGTTTTCAAAGACGGGGTTTCATCATATTGATGGGGCTGGTCTCAAACTCCTGACCTCAGGTGATCTGCCTGCCTCAGCCTCCCAAAGTGCTGGGATTACAGGCATGAGCCACCACATCCAGCCAGAATATATTTATTTACCTATATCTTTAAAACATGGAAGGGCGAGCACAGTGGCTCACGCCTGTAATCCCAGCACTTTGGGAGGCCAAAGTGGATGAATCACCTGAGGTCAGAAGTTTGAGACCAGCTTGGCCAACATGGTAAAACCCTGTCTTTACTGAAAATAGAAAACTAGCCAGGCATGGTGGTGTGTACCTGTAATCCCATCTACTCCAGGAGGCTAAGGCAGAATGACTTAAACCTGGAAAGCCAAGGCTGCAGTGAGCCAAGATCGCCCCATTGCACTCCAGCCTGGGTGACAGAGCGAAACTCTGTCTCAAAAATAAATAAATAAAATAAAACATGGAAGGGTAAACTAAAAACAACTAAAAGGGTTTCTACTCAGGGAAAGAGAAAAGTGTGGAGAGGACATGAACAGAAGATGTTTCTCTAACTGCACCTTTTTCCATAGCTTTGACTTTGGAACCATGCAAATGCTTTATGAATTTATGAAACAAACTAAATCAAACTTTAAAAACCAGTATAGAAAAACATAACATAATGAAACAAGTTAATTTACCCATGTTTAGTTAAAATGTCCAGAGACTTTTTTGGGGGAGGGAAGAGGGGTATAGAGGACATCTTGCTATGTTATCCTGGATGGAGTCTAGTGGTAACTCTTCGGCTCAAGCAATCCCCCCAAGTAGCTGAGACTACAGGCATAGGACACTGCACCTGGCTGAACATTTTTTCAAGTGGGTTAAAAACCTCATATTTTGGGGTGAGCGCGGTGGCTCATGCCTATAATCCCAGCACTTTGGGAGGCCGAGGCGGGTGGATTACGAGGTCAAGAGATCGAGACCATACTGGTCAACATGGTGAAACCCTGTCTCTACTAAAAATACAAAAATTAGCTGGGCATGGTGGCGCGTGCCTGTAATCCCAGCTACTCAGGAGGCTGAGGCAGGAGAATTGCCTGAACCCAGAAAGCGGAGGTTGCAGTGAGCCGAGATCGCGCCATTGCACTCCAGCCTGGGTAACAAGAGCAAAACTCCGTCTCAAAAAATAAAGAACCCTGCATATTTTGACTGTCCTTTTATCTTAAGAACAAAAAAACTGCAAGTAAATCATAAACTGTTTTTTTATAAATCATATTCTTGGTAATAAAACTGGTATCATTTTAAAACAGTAGATTTTTTTGGTTTTCTTTGAGACGGAGTTTTGCTCTTGTTGCCCAGGCTGGAGTACAATAGCGTGATCTTGGCTCACTGAAACCTCCGCCTCCCAGGTTCAAGTGATTCTCCTGCCTCAGCCTCCTGAGTAGTTGGGATTACAGGTGCTCACCACCACGCTCGGTTAATTTTGTATTTTTAGTAGAGACAGGGTTTCTCCATGTTGGTCGGGCTGGTCTTAAACTCCCAACCTCAGGTGATCCACCTGCCTCTGCCTCCCAAAGTGCTGGGATTACAGGCTCACATGAGACACCACACACGGCCCAACAGGTACTTTTAAAATTTGAAATTTTTAATTAAAAATCAATAAAAACAAGGCCAGGCACAGTGGCTCATGCCTGTAATCCCAGCACTTTGGGAGGCCGAGTCAGCTGGATCACCTGAGATCAGGAGTTCGAGACCAGACTGAAAACTAGCCAGGCATGGTGACATGTGCCTGTAGTCCCAGCTACTCAGGATGCTGAGGTGGGAGAATTGTTTGAATACAGGAGGTAGAGGTTGCAGTGAGCCGAGATTGCACCACTGCACTCCAGCCTGGGCAACAGAGCGACACTGTATCAAAAAATAAATGGCAAATGAAAATAAATAAAAACAACAACATAATATTTTTAAAAATATACCTTGTGAGACCAGGGAATTACTAGTGGAATGCTTAGAAAAAGATAAAGCAGGCGTTGTGTCTCCAACCTAGTCCAAGTATTTTCACTAAGTCCCTTTGTTTACTCAAATACACATATACTCACACACGTACACAGAAGCAGGGTTTTGTCTAATTATACATAATCTGCCATGATGGGAGATGCAGAATAGCCAAGGGTAACAGAAAGCAGATGTGAAGCTAAGTACCCAAAACCAGACTTCACTTTCTTTCATTTTAATGGAAGGATGCAAAGAACTTCCTAACCACAAAGGCCATAGGGCCACCAAAGGAATCTTTTTCATCTCTAAGCTGAAATGTCTTCCAGTGTCCCCCAGGACAGGACAGGCCAAAAAGAAATAGTATGGGATCCTGTTGCAATTTGTATATCACTTACAGTGAAGGTTTCTTGGGACAGCTATTCTAAAACTTGTTCAGGTTGCAGAACAATCTCTTTGCAGAAAGCTATAATCATTTTGTAAAAATATGAACAATTATATAGATAAGTCCCCTTCACAAACTATTTTTCTTACAGAAAAATTCTGATATGTGTGCAATACCTAAAGTTATGATGTGTGTCCATAAAAACACAAATTATCAAACTAAGCGGAAATAAACAAACTATTTCTGGGCTTTTTTCAGCAATACTCATTTATGGTTCATTTGTTTTGTGGTCCCCTTCAGTTTCCCTGGAATCCAATAGTAGTATGTGCCAAAAGTCCTATATAAACCTATGGGAGAAAATGAAAATAATCAGCTACTTTCTTTCTTTTTTTTTTTTTTTGGACTAAATCACAAGAAAAAAGCTGCTTCCCAAGAGTTTGAGACCAGCCTGGCCAACATGGTGAAACCCCATCTCTACTAAAAATACAAAAACTTAGCCAGGCATGGTGGCAGGCACCTGTAATCCCAGCTATTCCAGAGGCTGAGGCAGGAGAATAACTTGAACCCGGGAGGGAGAGGTTGTAGTGAGCTGAGATCGCACCATTGCACTCCAGCCTGGGCAACAAGAGTGAAACTCTGTCTCGAAAAAAAAAAAAAAAGCTGCTTCCTTCTACCTTCAAAATTATCACCATTATTCAGTTTTAGCTGTAGACCAACTCAATCTGGTTCTTGGAAGTTAAGTGTTACCCAAGAGCACAGCCTGAAAACCCATACTGATCTAGTAAGGCTAAGACACACAGGTAAACAGGCAAACCTAACCACTGTGCCCAAATACAACTGATGCTGGAAAGTTCTCCTGGCTGCATGAGAGAAGTGGAATGGGAAGATAAAGGAAAGAGAGAACCAAGGTGAGAATGAGAGTCTAGACTCTAACAATAATATTGGTATGTAATAATGTATAACAGCCAGAACACAACTGGCCACAGAACTGCATGCACATTTTATCTTTGCAGAATCTTCCAAGTAGCTTTGGTTAACACAGTGTACAGATGAGCAAGTGAGTTTAGAAAGCATCATAACTAGCTCAAGTTCACACAGCTAGTAGAAGGAGCCTGAGGATTCAGAACCAGGGCAGTCTGACTCCAAGGCCACTGCTGCTTTTCTTTACTAAAAAAAAAAAAAAAAAAGATTAAATTAAAATACAGATTGCTAGACATTTTAAAAATGAGTATTTGATATTAATACTACAACTATGCCCTTTTCAATTCAGTCTGTCACCAAACTCCCATTTTGCCTGATGGCTCTTGAAACGACAACAGCATTGGTTGGCTGTTGACCTTATACTGCCTGAGCATGTAACATGAACAACTCTTTGATGTCTTCTTAAAGTTAATGTTAATATTTAAAATACCTTGGAAACTATTTCCTTCCTTTGCATGCTTGGGTACAAGGTAAAATGGCTCTCGTCTTAGCTTCGTCCTAACTTTCGCTGAAAGCCAGTTTTTGATGGGCAGGCCTTTCTGGGTGCTAGCAGGCCAGCTACTTTTTGATTCCAAAGCCAGGATTATATCCACAGATATTTCTTTTCTAATAAGAAGTGTTACAGCAGGGCTCCCTCTTCTTTTCCTCTCCATGATGACATCTGTATCTGCTTGAACATATAAAAGAGAAGAAAGTATTTATTAATCCAATTTTCTCTGAAAATACAGGGGAAATAATGCAGCTATAATTGAAGATCTCTGGTGTGCTAAGTATAAAGTAAACAATAGTGGTAAAACAGAAACTGGCTCTAAAAGGCTACGTGTTTTACTAATTTAGCCAATATTAGCCAGGTGTGATGGCTCATGCCTGTAATCCCAGCACTTTGGGAGGCTGAGGCGAGTGGTTAACTTGACGACAGGACTTTGAGACCAACCTGGCCAACATGGTGAAACCCCATCTCTACTAAAAACACAAAAATTAGGCTGGGCATGGTGGTGAACGCCTGTAAGCCCTGCTACTTGGGAGGATGAGGCATGAGAATTGCTTGAACCCAGGAGGTGGAGGTTGCAGTGAGCTGAGATCACATCACTGCACTCCAAACTGGGCAACCAAGTAAGACTCTCCCTAAAAAAAAAAAAAAAAAAAAAAAACAGTATTTCTTGATAGCTCCCATGGGAGGCATTGTCAGACTGTGTGTGGCATATATGATGAGGGGGGTCTCTATAGATTTTGAGGTTTGAGGGTACTCTGATTAAACTTTCATTACAAATTATAGATGGCAGTGTGGAGGGAAGCCTAGAGAAGAGGCTAGGTGGGCAAGAGGGAAGAGACAGAGAGCAAAAAGACCATAGCAACAGGCCAGCACAGAGGCTGGGTGCCATGGCAGCACAGAGGCAGGGAGCATCAAGACACAGGGGGAAGAAATGAGAGCAACTAAAGAGGTTCAAATCAACATAACTGGCCGGGCACAGTGGCTCACGCCTGTAATCCCAGCACTTTGGGAGGCCAAGGCGGGTGGATCACAAGGTCAAGAGATAGAGACCAACCTGGCCAACATGGTGAAACCCCATCTCTACTAGAAATACAAAAAATTAGCCGGGCATGGTGGCACATGCCTGTAATCCCAGCTACTTGGGTGTCTGAGGCAGGAAAATCGCTTGAACCCAGGAGGCTGAGGTTGCGGTGAGCCAAGATTGTACCACTGCACTCTAGCCTGGGCAGCAAGAGCAAAACTCCATCTCAAAAAAAAAAAAAAAGAAAGAAAAATCTACAAACCTGGCCACCTCTCCTGTTACCACTGAGGAAGTAAGTGTCCATCTACCTTTCTTTTTATGAGATGAAGTCTTGCTCTGTCGCCCAGGCTGGATGCAGTACAACAGCATGATCTAGGCTCACTGCAACCTTCACCTCCCAGGTTCAAGTGATTGTCCTGCCTCAGTCTCCTGAGTAGATGGGATTACAGGCCTGCCCTATCTTGCCTGGCTAATTTTTCTATTTTTAATAAAGACAGAGTTTCACTATGTTGGCCAGGCTGGTCTCAAACTCATGAGCTCAAATAATCTGCCCACCTTGGCCTCCCAAAGTGCTGGGATTACAGGTGTGAGCCACTGTGCCTGGCCCTCTATCTACCTTCCAAAGGCCACCTCTGCACGTGGTCTCTGAACCCCTTCCTTCTCAACTTCTTAAAGTACCCTGCTCTTCAACTATTCCCTCTCCTACATCAGCCATCTCTCCCTCCCTGCTGGATCATTCTGAAATTCATACAAAGGGTTACAGTGTAAACCTCTCCTTTCACCCCACATCTGCCCCCTTTCCATACTCACCCATCTTTCTGCTTCCTTCCATCCCAAACTTTTTTTTTTTTTTTTTTGAGACAGGGTCCCACTCTGTCACCCAGGCTGGAGTGCAGTAGCATGCACATGGCTCACTGCAGCCTCAACCTCCTAGGCTTAAGCAATTCTCTTGCTTCAGCATCATATGTAGCATCGTATGTGTCATGCACACAGGTGCATGACACCATCTCTGGCTAATTTTTAAAATATTTTTGTAGAGATGGACTCTCACTTTGATGGCCAGGCTGGTCTTGAACTCCTGGGCTTAAGCAATTCTTATGCCTTGGCCTCCCAAAGTGCTGAGACACCACACTCAGCCCAGACAGAACTTTCTAGAGCAGCCTATACATGCTGTCTCCACTGCAACAAAACACTTGTATTCTCCTTTTGCTCATTCTCTGCTTCCCAAACTCTAATGGAATTCTCTTCTTACCATTCTACTTAACATTGCAAATTCCCACCTCCATCTCCCACATTCCTGATCCCTCTCTTTGCCATACTTTTTCACAACAGCACTTACTACTATCTACTACACAAGATAATCAATCAGCCAGGTGCGGTGGCTCACCCCTGTAATCTCAGCACTTTGGGAGAACAAGGTGGGTGGAGCACTTGAGGCCAGGAGTTCGAGACCAGCTTGGCCAACATGGTGAAACCCCGCCTCTTTAAAAAAAAAGATAATCATAATTTCCATTTGTTATTAATTGTATGTCTGTGGTTGCAAAAATTATAAAGTACAGAAGGGTAGAGATCTTCATCTATTTGTTCACTAATTAATCCTAAATAACCAGAATACCTGCACGTTAGATAATCAATGACTATTGATTAAATTGATGGATAAATGAATCTATATTCTCTGCCTAGGTGTTTCACCTATTCCCAATGCCACCTATATGATGACGACTCCCAAATGCTACTTGCAGCCCAATGTATCCTTTGCACTCCAAACCTATATCCAGCCACATAACACATCCACTTTGATGTACCACAGGAATCTATAAACAAACATATCCAAAGCCAGTAACATAACTTAATTCATATCCCAAAATATGTTGTTACTCAGTTCTTCTCATCTCAAAGAATGGCAAAATCAATCCACCAAGATGCACTATCAGGAAACCTGGAAACGGTCTTAATTTAATCCTCTCTCTTACCCCCTACACTTAATCCAGATGCAAGTGCTGCTACAGCCTGGACCTGTCTGCTGCTTCAATCCCAGCACCCTATTCCCACCCCATCTAAGCTGCCACCATCTTTTAGCTGAACTGTTACATCATTTTTCTTTCTAATTTTCCTATTTGCCTTCTTGTAAGATTTATCCTTAAAAGCTGGAGTAAATATTTAAAAATTCAAAGCCAAGCATTATTCTCTGATGAAAACCTGGCTTCTCAATGATCAGATAATAAAATGTGGCCAGGCTCGGTGGTTCACATCTGTAATCCCAGTACACTGGGAAGCCAAGGTGGGTGTATGAGGAGGTCAGGAGTTCAAGATCAGCCTGTCCAAAATGGTAAAACCCCATTTCTACTAAAACTACAAAAATTAGCTGGGTGTGGCAGTGGGCACCTGTAATCCCAGCTACTCAGGAGGCTGAGGCAGGAGAATCCCTTGAACCTGGGAGGTGGAGGCTACAGTGAGCTGCGATCATGCCACTGCACTCCAGACTGGGCATCAGAGCAAGACTCTCAAAAATCAAATCAAATCAAATCTAAACTCCTTTTCGGGGTCTACAAGTCAGTACAGAATCTGGTCCCTGACTGCCTCTTCAGCTTCATTTCATGTCACTTCACCTTTTCTGCAAAAGTCTCTTTTTGTTCCTGGATCTTGCCAAGCTCCTTTTCCTGTCTCAGGGTTTGGCTCCACTACCCCATTCTACCCTAATTGTTATCACTTTCCCTAGTTTATTCCCTTCAGAGCACTCACTGCAATTTGTGTTGTATATTATTACGCTATTAGAGTACGAGCTTTAAAGAGGATCCCATCAATTTTATGCAGGCACGTATAGCCAGTGGCACAAGCAGCAGACTAAGTGAAAAGCAGAGTGTTGTTTCTAGACAGAGAGAACAGTCATACCTACTAAGTGCCGTACACTCCTCTCCTGATATTTCTTGGCTTTTCTACTGCAGTTTTTTTTTTTTTCTTCAGAGAGGTCAAGAAACATCAGGAGAGGAGTGTACACTGGCAATCAGTAGGTATGATTAAACCTTTAAGAGTCAAAAGGCAGGCCGGGCACAGTGGCTCACACTTGTAATCCCAGTACTTTGGAAGGTTGAGCCAGGCAGATCACCTGAGGTGAGGAGTTTAAGACCAGTCTGGCCGACATGGTAAAACTCTATCTCTACTGAAAATACAAAATAGCTGAGCATGGTGGCATATGCCAGTAATCCCAGCTACTCTGGAGACTGAGGCAGAAGAATTGCTTGAACCTGGGAGACAGAGGTTGCAGTGAGACAGATCGTGCCATTGCACTCCAGCCTGGGTAATAAAAGTGAAACTCCATTTCAAAAAAAAAAGAATCAAAAGGCAAAAATCTTACCTTGCATGTTTTTAATTTCTTCCTTAATGATTTTCCTAAACTTAGACAGCATCTTAGAAGCTGATAATATTTCATCTTCTAAAAATTGTCTCAGAGGATTTTCTTTCAGATTTCTTTTGAATTTCACAAAGTAATATGCACCAGTGTTGGAATATTCTTCTAGTTGAATTCTGGGGAGTTCCAGTTTAAACATGACATCAAATTCATTAGGTGTAGAAATCTAAGAAACAGTAAAAAAAAAATAGCATTGAAATGTTTGCTTATGAATATTTTCCAAGTGACTGGAATATTTTTGTTTGTTTAAAGGGATTTTTCTATTTATTTATTCATTCATTCATTTATTTTAAGACAGAGTTTCACTCTTGTTGCCCAGGCTGGAGTGCAACGGCATGATCTTGGCTCACCGCAACCTCCACTTCCAGGGTTCAAAGGATTCTCCTGCCTCAGCCTCCTGAGTAGCTGGGATTACAGGCAAGTGCCACCATGCCTGGCCAATTTTTCTGTATTTTTAGTAGAGACAAGGTTTCTCCATGTTAGTCAGGCTGGTCTCAAACTCCCGACCTCAGGTGATCCACCTGCCTCAGTCTCCCAAAGTGCTGGGCTTACAGGCATAAGCCACCGTGCCTGGCCATTTTTTTCAATTTTCACTTAAAACTTTACTTTAAAAAGTAAGATGCTTAATGTCAATATATATACCCTCTGGGAGTGGGACTACTGGAGCTGGCAGGAGGTGGAAGAGTATTACTGGTTTCATTTTGTAGGTTCTACACTCAATTAATATTTTTACAATGACCAAGCACTATATATATATATATATATATTTTTTTTTTTGAGACAGAGGTTCGCTCTTGTTACCCAGGCTGGAGTGCAATGGCGCAATCTCGGCTCACCGCAACCTCCGCCTCCTGGGTTCAGGCAATTCTCCTGCCTCAGCCCCCCGAGTAGCTGGGAATACAGGCTCATGCCACCATGCCCAGCTAATTTTTAATATTTTTAGTAGAGACAGGGTTTCACCATGTTGACCAGGATGGTCTCGATCTCTTGACCTCGTGATCCACCTGCCTCGGCCTCCCAAAGTGCTGGGATTACAGGCTTGAGCCACCGCGCCCAGCCGACCAAGCATTATTTTTATAACTAAAAATGATTTTAGGCCAGGTGCAGTGGCTCATACCAATAATTAATTTTTGTGCATGATGTGGTAAGGAATCAAGATTCATATGTTTTTCCTATATAGATCTCCAATTGACTCAGCACCATTCATTGAAAAAAAAATCCCTTCTTCCATGAATTACACAGCTACATATTTTGCATACTATATTAAATTATATGTGCAGGATCCTTTCTGCACTTTCTATTCAAATGGCCTATTTTTCTATCACTGCGTCGATAACACCTGCTTAATTAGGCTAGCTTTAAGTCTTGCTCTTTGGTAGAGTAAATCTTCCAACATCTTTTCCTTTACAATTTCCTTGCCTATTTTAGGTCCATTGCACTTCCATATAAATCTTTTAATCAGGCCAGGAGCAGTGGCTCACGCCTGTAATCCCAGCACTTTTGGAGGCTGGGGTGGGCAGATCACCTGAGGTTAGGAGTTCAAGACCAGCCTGGCCAAAATGGTGAAACCCTGTCTCTACTAAAAATACAAAAAATTAGCGGGGCATGGTGGTGCGCACCTGTAGTCCCAGCTACTCGGGAGAATGAGGCAGGAGAATTGCTTGAACCCAGGAGGCAGAGGTTGCGGTGAGCCAAGATCGCGCCATTGCACTCCAGCCTGGGCAAAGGAGCGAAACTCCGTCTCAAAAAAAAAAACAAAACAAAACAAAAATTAGAGGCTGGGCGCGGTGGCTCACGCCTATAATCCCAGCACTTTGGGAGGCCGAGACAGGTGGATCACGAGGTCAAGAGATTGAGACCATCATGGTCAACATGGTGAAACCCCATCTCTACTACAAATAGAAAAATTAGCTAGGCATGGTGGTGTGTGCCTGTAGTCCCAGCTACTCGGGAGGCTGAGGCAGGAGAATTGCTTGAATCCAGGAGGTGGAGGTTGCGGTGAGCTGAGATCGCGCCATTGCACTCCAGTCTGGGTAACAATAGCAAAACTCTGTCTAAAAAAAAAAAAAAGTACAAAAATTATCCAGGTGTTGTGGCAGGCACCTGTAATTCTAGCCACTCGGGAATCTGAGGCAGGAGAATCACTTGAACCTGGGAGACGGAGGTTGCAGTGAGCCAAGATCATGCCACTTCACTCCAGCCTGGGCAAGAGTAAAACTCTGTCCCAAAAAAAAAAAGTGTTTTAATCAGTTTGTCAGTTTAATTAAAAAAAAACTGATGGAATTTATACTAAGATCATATTGAATCTAGATCAATTTGAGAAAAAATGAACATGACACAGGTGTCAATTACTTTATTCCTCTTCAAATTTACTCAGTTGTTTTTAAGTTTTGAATATCTTTAGTGAGATTTATTCCTAAATATTTGATTTTTAAATTGTTTTTCGAGTTTTCAGGTTTTTTTCTGAGACAGAGTTTTTCCCTTGTCACTGAGGCTGGAGTGTAATGGAGCAATCTCAGCTCATTGCAACCTCTGCCTCCTGTATTCAAGCAATGCTCCTGCCTCAGCCTCTCGAGTAGCTGGGATTATAGGCGTGCACCACCACGCCCAGCTGATTTCTGTATGTTTAGTAGAGACAGGGTTTCACAACGTTGGCCAGGCTGGTCTCGCACTCCTGACCTCAAGTGATCTGCCCACCTCCCAAAGTGTGGGGATTACAGGTGTGAGCCACTGTGCCTGGCCAAAGTTTTTAATTTTTATTTTTTAGAGATGGGGTCTCCAGGTTGGAGAACAGTGGCCTATTCATAGATAGATCATAGTATACTGCAGCCTCAAACTCCTGGTCTGAAGTGATTCTCACACTTCAGCCTCCCAAATAACTGGGACTATCAGAATGCAACAATGCACCTGGCTTTTATATTTTTACTAATATCAAATTATTAATTTAGTAATTATTCATTTGCAACAATGCACCTTTATATTTTTACTAATATCAAATTATTAATTTACTAATTATTCCTAGAAGTTTATATATAAAACCAATCAAGTCATCTACACATAACAATTTTATCTCTCTTTTTCTCATCTTATGGCTGCATCAGCTAGGAGAATCGCTTGAACCTGGGAGGCAGAGGGTGTTGCTCTGGTTAAAAAAAATAATAATAAAAAGAATGTTACTAGTTGGAATTAGAGAACAAAACATTCAGAAAACAGCCTCCATTCAGTACCATTTTGTTTTTCTTTCTTTTTCTTTTTTTTAAAAAAGACGGGGTTTCACCATGTTAGTCAGGCTGGTCTTGAACTCCCGACCTCAGGTGATCGGCCTGCCTTGGCCTCCAAAGTGCTTGGATTACAAGCGTGAGCCACCATGCCCAGCCGAGTACCACTTTGTTTTTAAAAATTATGCCAATAAAAAGAAATTCAGTGAAATTTGTTTTATCTAAAAGTTTTTTGAGATGAAGTCTTGCTTCATTCAAGATGGAATGCAGTGATGTAATCTTGGCTCACTGTAACCTCCACATGAAAATGGTAACAGTAAATACAACAGAAGCAATATTTTCTTCTATAGGCTTTTCTTACTTTACTAGGGACAGCAATATGGAAGAAGCCAGGTGCGGTGGCTCACAGCTATAATCCCAGCACTTAGCTGTTTTCTGAATGTTTTGTTCTCTAATTCCAACTACAACATTCTTTTTATTATTATTATTATTTAACCAGAACCACATATAAACCGACTACTCAGGAGGCTGAGGCAGGAGACTCACTGGATTATTTCAGATGTAACAGCTTGTTAAAATTGACAAGCTTAATTCTTCTTTTTTTTTTTTTTTGCCAATCAGTGTGAGCCTCGAACTCATGACCTCGCCTTCACAAGCGCCATGACATCCGGCTGGAGCCACTTTGGACCCTGACAAGCTTAATTCTTTTTTTTTTTGACAGAAGTAAAAATATTTATTTTATCTTAAAAATCTGGTCCCACAAAAAGGCCAACACTTTTTTCAGTTCGTGGTCTTGACCCTTCAACAAAGAAATCTTTCAACTGAGAGGTAAGTTGATAAAAGGAATTTCAGAGGTGCATTCAGATTTCTTACAAGCCAGTAATCCAAGCAACCCTGGACTTCTAGTTTACTGAGCTCCTTCTGCTAGTCATTCACAGTTCCTGAAGGAGAAAAGAAAGAAGTTGTTTGCAGATAAGGCACTTTAGAAACCACCAGAGAGAAACCCAAGTTTGCCAGGAGCTGCGTTGTCAATCGGTGAGCACAGAGGGCCACCAGTTGACAGGAGTGCTGGGTCCCACAGCTCCATGCTGACAGCTTCCACCTTCCTGCCCCAACACTGTTCCATCTGGCTTCCAGCACCCACCTTGGCTCTGTGTTGCCTGAATGGCCTAGAATACATGGAAACCAGACAACTGGCCAGAGATGAGCACTGCTGCCTGAAGACAGTGAGGAATGCCTTCAGAGACCACATTGGGGCACACTCAAGAAGCAGTTCTTTTGGCAAAGATGAGTTAGTGCGGATCAGCACATTAGCAAAGCAAAACACTTAAACATTTTTAAAAGCTGCTTAATCCTTCCAATTTCCCTCCTGATTGTAAGTTCAAGCTATAGCCTCTAAACCTGTTAAAAATCAGGAAGGAAACCCTCCTCTGGAGGGCAGATGGACTGAAGTGGCTATAGCCAGTGTGGGTAAAGAAGGCCCCCAGCTGGCCGGGCGCGGTGGCTCAAGCCTGTAATCCCAGCACTTTGGGAGGCCAAGGCGGGTGGATCACGAGGTCAAGAGATGGAGACCATCCTGGTCAACATGGTGAAACCCCGTCTCTACTAAAAAAATACAAAAAATTAGCTGGGCATGGTGGCGTGTGCCTGTAATCCCAGCTACTCAGGAGGCAGAGGCAGGGGAATTGCCTGAACCCAGGAGGCGGAGGTTGCGGTGAGCTGAGATTGCGCCATTGCACTCCAGCCTGGGTAACAAGAGCGAAACTCTGGCTCAAAAAAAAAAAAAGAAGGCCCCCAGCTGAACAGTGATCACATGACACCTGCAGACTCTCAGAAGGGCTGATCTGAATCCAGGCAGCAAACTCAACCCATTCTTTTGCTCTGGGAGCTTGTGTTTAATATGCCTCATTGTGATAGAAGAAAGTCTCTCTCCTGTCAAGAGGACAGACGGGAAGACAGACGGGATCCTGGAGCTTTTCTTCTCCTGTGTACTGGTTGCATATTTGAATCCCAGGAAATAGTGTGACAAGATGCCAGTTTACTGCCAAACATGCCCAGTTTGTCAACAGAGCCAGGCAAGGAGAGAGGAGAGATTCATGCTCCAAACACAGGCCAGCGGAGGCATGCTTCGATCTCCTTCCTTTGACCCAGATGAGGGAGCTCCTTCCCAGAATTCACATAAGGAAAAACTGTGCTCAGGTCAGAACTGGACCCAGCCTGGTTGGGTCTGGCTGGGAGCTGATCCTGTAGATTTGGTAAAGTCTCCCCAGATGTCAGTGGTGGCAGGCTTGGGCTGTGGCCAGGGTACAGAAGCACCTCCTCCTGAACTGGGAGCAACTGCTGGTTGGACAAGGGATTCCCCCGACTGACAACTGTTCCCTGGGGGGAGGGATGAGGGTGAAAGTTTTGCCCCCTGGGGGAGGGGGAAGCAAGCACAACCCTCCCGTGCTGGCAGGACGGGCTCAGGGATTCCCGGCCGCTCCTTCCTCCTTCTTCATGTTTGCGCTGTTGAGCCTGATGGTCTGGCCCTCCTCGAAGCCCAGGTCCAATTTGGGGCCTTGGTCTGGGTTCTGGGCTTTTTTTGCAAATTCACACTGCTGTTTCACCCACTTGAAATGATCCTGCAATGCAACATTGAAGTCAAAGGCATCACCTCAGTCCCCAAGGCCAATTCCAATAAACGTCCGTCACCGGTCTCCACCTTCAATGTGGGTCACGACGTACTTGCTGGGATCCCTCATGCTCTCCACAGCTGTGCCAGGAAGCTGATCCACTGGGGCCGCAGCAAAGAGCTCCCCTGAGACCTGTCCCCCAGCTTGATGCAGGCCATCTGCCGCTTTGCAGTGATCCTCAGCCGGCCACTCCATGATGGCTGGTCCAGCTGCCACTCGGGGCCCTGTAGCCATGGTTGGGAATGCGGTAGACGTGGACGTCAGGCTTGACACAGAGCACCGACTCATACCCGCTCTCTGTCATCCCGACGCCTGGAGCCCATGAGACTTCTGGCTCCTTCCTGACAAGTTTAATTCTTAACTGCACCAAGTAAACTTAGCCATTTAAGTTTTTTTGTTTGTTTTTTAAAGTTATTCCCTTCGAAAAACTGAGGGAGCATTTCCTTTCCACCACCACACACCATGATTTCCCAATAGTTCTCTTTTTGGAGGACTTTTCAATTGACGAGTAAACTGCTTTAGAGATATTTCAAAACTTCTCCCAAATGAAAATTAACCTGGACAAACTATATATGTATGCATAGATTTCTCTACAGATTCTTTGCTTTGAAACCTAAATGCAACTACCATAAAGTGTAATTTTAACCTATTTGCCCCACAGTAAAAACTATTTGTACCAAAAAATATGATGGCTATATCCTGTGATTTTTGAGTAAACAGAATTGCTCTACCTCAAAGATAATTATTATCATATATCAAAATAACCAGCTCAACATGGGACATTAGTTCAATCTTTACTGACTCATAGGCATATGAAGTTGTACCCAGCTTTTTACCTCTTCCACATTCTTTTCCTCCTCATCCATAGTGGATGAAATTATTTAATATAAGTTTGATGTGGGACAATTAACCTTTTATAAACATTTACAATTTAGGTTAAGCCACTGACTAGCATGGAAAAAGAAACTCTCTGTATTGATAGGGAGCCTACGCACTCAATTCAAAATTTAATATTTTTTCCTTCTAAAATAACATATATGTGTCATGAGGCAGCTATTCGGTTTTCAATAACCACATTTAGGGACATATTCACAGGACTGATTAGATAGTCCAGGTGAAATAGTTATAAAAATAGAGGCAGTATCATCTCAGAAAACCATTTATGTATCAAAGTCCATTTTTATATCTGGGAAATTTACAAAAAGGCTGCTGTATTCTTCAAACTAATTACACCTTCTGTAACTCAAGCACTCTTCTCTTGGCAAGAGCAAGACGAAGCTTATCCATGAAGATAAAGGTGCTTAATGCTATAAACTTTTCTTCTAAGCTTAGATACGGATTGTTTAAGAAACGAACAACCCCCCAAAACCAGCAAGGTCTTTCTACATTTTTACCATCTTAAGATTAGAACCCTATAAACTCATTCATCAACTGTCTTCTTTTTCTGTATTATTCTTGGCACTTAAGACTGTCAAAGTCTACTGCACTTTGTACTTTCACATTCTCAAAAACTTTATAAAGTGTGTGTAAACATTTTATAAAATAATTTTGTCATTTAACATATTTGGAGATGAGACTTTTATGCCAAAATTTTACATAAGAGGATATATACTATGAATGAAACTTCCTTTTAAAGTCAAATGACAGAAAGCTCAAGCCCTGTGCATGATTTTAAAGTCCGAGAAAATGTCTAACTATTGGATATGGGACTACAAGAGGAAAACATAAATATTTCGGATGTCTCCCATCTTACAAAGTTATCAACCTGTCAAAGCCACTCCCTATGTGCCAGGAAATGATCTGGCATACTAATCCTCTCAGTGGAGGAGGTCACAGTGCCATTTGTATTATTAACACTTTACACTTCTGCTTTTCCAAGAATAGAAGCAATACGTTTAACAATTATCCCTACCCCAAATCCTTAAACTCAATATCATAGGCATCAGAGTGTAAGCAAATCTGGGATGTTCTCCAACAGATATGCAATAGCACAGCTATGTTATGCTCAAAAATACTGTCTAGATATTTTTTCCTGTAAAATCAAATGCTCAGTGGTCACACTTTTAACAACTGGCACTGGATGACATTAATTGCATTTATTATGTCACAGTCCATCTAAGCTTCCTTTTAGGTATTTTAAAATATGTTCAAGAGAAAACACCTGCTTCAGGTTTATTTAGGGGTAGTGACCTATAAGGACATCAACTCAATTTTTAAGGTTAGAGTATTTTTGGGTTTACTGAATAAAAAGGAACAGGGGAAAAATTAAATCACAACAAACCTCTTTAGGTCAAAGGCTGTATCTCTAGCTGGGATATTTAAAAAAATTAATCTCACCAGCCCATATTCTAAAAGTTAATGCCTCTAGTAACAATCAGTAACAATCAACAGCAGGAAAAACAAACCTGCTAACAACCAGCCCACTCATTAGCAAAAAAAGCAGTTTAACTCAATAATTAGACAAAAGTATAACACCACCTAAACCAAACTGCCCCGCCCACCAGCAAGAAGAGAAGAAATAGTTGCTTAATAATCAAAAGAAGCTTAGTATTTCTCACAAGGGTAACCATGTTTGGACTGCCGAGAGTGCTCAGAAGGACTAAAGGTGGAGTGAAGGCAATGCCTAGGGATTAGTATTCCACAAAGTCTTTAAAAACCCAAAGTACCACAAACACACTCAACTTGTCTATGAATTAGAGAATAAGATATTGCTGCTGCTTCTTTTTATCTTTTGAAATATACAGTATTTTGTGGGCTCTGCCCTTCAATGTGAAAGCAGGACATTAAATTTGAAATTATATGACAACTAAATTTTTAGGACCGTCTAACTTTAACTGCAAAATTAAACAGATCTATGTTTTCCTTCCTTCAAACCACCTCACAAAAATAAGAGAAAACGATCCAAACATGATTTTTTTATAAAGTCCTTGAAAGTATTAAAACTCTTAGAGAAAACAAAAGGAAGAAGGAAAAACAAGAACAAGGAGGGAGAAAAGGTTTAAAAGAAAATGTGGGAATCAATGGGTCTCTCTTTTATTTGATGACAAGCAAGTGCAAGAAAGTTCATTGGTAATTTGTTCAGTTGTCTGTCTTTTGCACATCTGCATTCTGACCAGAAGGGACTGAGGTTTTTCTGCAGCACATGGGCATCTGCGGGCTCTATCCTCTTAGAGTAGTTCTTCCTTGTCTTGATAATCTCAAAGCCACACTTCCTGTAGAAGTCAATTGCTGACTTGTTGCTTATCTAGATGCGCAGATAGATGTTGTCAAAAGTACCATCTTTTTCACAGACATTTAAGACATGATTTAATGCCTGTAATTCCAGCACTTGGGGAGGCCAAGGGGGTATCCTTGATCACCTGAGGTCAGAGTTCAAGACCAGCCTGGCCAACATGGTGAAACCCCGTCTCTACTAAAAACACAAAAATTGCTGGTCGCGGTGGCTCACACCTGTAATCCTAGCACTTTGGGAGGCCGAGGTAGGTGGATCACCTGAGGTCAGGAGTTCAAGACCAGCCTGGCCATCATGGTGAAACCCCATCTTATAAAACAAAAAAACAAAAATTAGACCCCCATGCTGACAGGCGCTTGTAATTGCCTGTCAAAGTAAGTGGCTACTTTGGAGGCTGAGGGAGAATTGTTTGGACCCGGGAGGCGGAGGTTAGTTCCTATTCCTAGTCTTTGGTAAGGTGCCAGACATCCTAGTGTCATGATGTAAAGTCTCTTCTGATTCTGTGAATGATCTCCTCTACAGCATACCACACCTACAGCAATATCATTGAAACAGACAGGGTTTTGCTACCTCCAGCACATCCTTGCAGAACTTGTTATTGTAGTTGACTGGAAAGATGACCTAATTCAATCTTTTCAACTGTTTAATATTGTGTGGTGTCACATCTCCCAGCTCGATCCGGCTACCTTTCATATTTCCCGCCTGCTGAGGCCGTCGTTACCACCGATGTCAACGCGGTCGTCGTCATCGCCGCCCTCAGGTCTCCGCGCCCTCAGCTTGGACCACTCAACCCCGCAAGCCGGCCTCCTAGCCCGGGCCCGGAGCTGAGCGAGCGTGGAAGGCCGAGTCGAGCGAGGGCCTGAGTCTCTGGTGGGGGCGGGCGTGTCTCCAGCCACCGCGCTGGTCCGGCGGCTTTTCCACAAGGGCACTCCGGTCTGTCAGCTCCCTCCCGCCGCTGCCGCCAGCCAGACCCGCCGCCGCCAGTAACTTTCTTTTTCCTTTGGACCCTCCATACACAGGAATCGAACTGAATTGACACGTAATAAGAATCATGCTCAAAGACCTAGCTGATGCTAAAAAATAAATTTGTTAGTTAAAAAGAATCATGCTGAAGACACAGTCTGGACCTGGCACGGTGGCTCACGCCTGTAATTCCAGCACTTGGGGAGGCCAAGTGGAGCGGATCATCTGAGGTCAGAGTTCAAGACCAACCTGGTCAACATGGTGAAACCCCGTCTCTACTAAAAATACAGAAATTAGCCGCAGGTGCTGACAGGCGCTTGTAACCCCACCTACTTTGGAGGCTGAGGGAGAATTGCTTGGACTCGGGAGGCGGAGGTTGCAGTGAACTCGAGATGCTGTCACTGTACTACAGCCTGGGCAAAAAGAGAGAAAGGAAAGGGAGAGAGACACGGAGAGAAAGCGAGAAAGAGGAAGGGAGGGAAAGAGGGAGAGAGAGAAAAAGGGAGAGGGAGGGAGGGAGGAAATCTGCTGCTGGGCAGGAAACACGCTCCAGTCAGAAACCTGCTTCCAAACTTTCAATTTTCACAGGAATTACTATTTCGATGACTCAATCCCCACAAACAAATGGAGCTGTGTAATACACACTTCGAAGCAACTATACGGAATGTGTGTCTCGAAAGCATACTTGTTAGTAGTATCTGTAGGGAATATTCATGTTTGTTTAACATTACACTGTGTGCTTCCCATGATTTCTGCAAAAGAAACCGGAGAAACAAAATAGCAGGAGAGGAAGTGGGGAGAGAAACGATGTTTTCTATGTACTCCATTCCTATGTACTCTTTCCTATTCCTCATAGGAAAATGTCTACTTGGAATTTTTCACAGACCACTTCAAATTGCTCAACTGAATACTTGACTTGGGACCTCAGGTCCACACTACTAAACAGCCCTGTTACGGAAACTCGATACATGTCGGCTTGCATGAATGAACTCACACACTTGAATTCCCCCTGTAGCTGTGTCTTGAAATTAGCCAGCAATCAGTGCCGGTTAGTTATCTGCTCGTTGCATGTGTAGATGAATAAACAAACGTTTTGTCGTTTTACTTAGAACAGGCTACCGAAACACATGCAAGAGTCCAAGTTACTTCGGACGGGAAGTGAGGGGCGAGACCTGGGGGAGGTAGGGACTGCAGACTGCGGGGAGGCAGAGGAGCAAGGCTCGGCGGGCGGGCGCCGCGCAGCTCACCTTCACGCGCTCATAGTAGCTCCCGGTGTGCAGCGACTCCACTTTGAACTTGCCTTTGAACTCGGACTCGCACTGCTGCAGTCTGCCCAGCAGGTGGTCCACAACGCTGTTCACCACCTTGGCCGCGTTGGAGACATCGTCGCGACTTAGCCTTAACTTCTCTAAAACCGCCCGGAGCTTCCTGGTCCGCGGCGCCGACTCCCTTCGGCCGAGGATGGGGCCGGAGACCGGCAGGCCGGGGCTGGGCAAGTCCCGGGGCCCGGGCGGGGGTCTGGGCTCCGCAGAGCAGCGCGCACCCGTCGGGCGGCGAGAACCAGCTCTGGAAAAAGCCGGCTCGGGAGCCTCGGGAGGCTCTCCCGCCTCCGCCCCAGAGGCGCTGATGGCTTCCGAGAGCCGCGCGTCCTCGGCGCGCTGAGGGACCTTCTTGGGGCGGGCCCCCAGCTCACGGGCTGGCGGCCTTTCCTGGGTGTCCTGGGCGTTCTTCTTCTGCCTGGATCCCGACCCCCTGGCGGGGCCGAACTTTCCCGCGTGGGGCCGGGCGGCCTCCGGAGCAGCCAGAGACTGGTTTGGGTCCGTCCGGGCGCCCCTGGCGCTTGGCGCAGAAGCCTCGGGAGCGGTGGCTCGGGCCTGGGAAGCTCTCCGCGTGGCCTTTCCGCGTCGAGGCTGCATGGCTGGCGCTTTCTGTACACCGAAAGAAGAATCAATTTCAGGAAAAGGCCGCGAGAGGAAGAGTCCACAGTAGCGGTAGGAAACGAAACACTACTGTCGGGAAGGAACCCCAGGCTGCTAAATCGCTGGGAGCCACGCCCATGCCGCGAAGGGGTTGGCCGCGGCCAGAAAGTCCTGGAAGTTTCTCACCCTCCAGGGCAGTCGGTGCCCCTGCCTTCAGAAGATGAGGTAGGGCCCGGCTCGGTGACTCACGCCTGTAACCTCAGCATATGGTAGGCCAAGGCCGGCGGGTCCCTTAAGCTCAGCAGTTTGAGACCAGCATGGGCAAACTAGCAAGGCCTTGTGTCTCTTGTAATAATAATAATAATGACAACGATAATAATACAATATTTTAATTTTAAAAAGTTGGCGGTGCACGGTGGCTCACACCTGTAATCCCACCAATCTGGGTGGCTGAGGTGGGTGGATCACCTGAGGTCAAGAGTTCTACATGAGCCTGGCCAACAAGGCAAAACCCGGTCTCTACTAAAAATACAAAGATTATCCAGGTATGGTGGGACACGCCTGTAATTCCAGCTACTCAGGAGGCTGAGGCTGGAGAATCACTTGAACCCAGGAGGCGAAGGTTGCAGTGAGCTGAGATCACACCACTGCACTCCAACCTGGGGGACAGAGAGAGACTGACTCAAAAACAGAATAAATGAAACAAAAAGTTGACAGAGACTGAGCACAGTACCTCACACCTGTAATCACAGCACTTTGGGAACCTGAGGTGGGTGGATCACCTGAGGTCAAGAGTTCGAGACCAGCCTGACCAAGATGGTGAAACCCCCATCTCTACTAAATATACAAACATTAGCTGGGCATGGTGGCATATGCCTGTAGTCCCAGCTACTTGGGAGGCTGAGACAGATAATTGCTTGAACCCAGGCGGCGGAGGTTGCAGTGAGCCAAGATCATGTCACTGCACTCCTGCCTGGGCAACAGAAGGAGACTCCTTCAAAAAAAGAAAAAAAATTGACAGTTTTCTCTCTCAAAAATTGTTTTGTTTAATTTTGTTTTGAGTCAGGGTGGTGCGATCTCTGCTCACTGCAACATCCGTTACCAGGGCTAAGTGATCCTCTCACCTCAGCATCCGGAGTATCTGGGACTACAGGTGCCCACACCATGCCCAGCTTTTTGTTGTTGTTGTTAATTTTTTATATAGATGGGGAGGTCTCACTGTGTTGGTCAGGCTGGTCTTGAACTAATAGGCTTAAGAGATCCTCCTGCCTCTGCCCTTGAAAGTGTTGGGATTGTGGCATGACCCACTGTGCCCTGCCACGGAAACTTTTTCTTTCTTCTTTCTTTCTTTGGAGATGGAATTTTGCTCTTTTTTTTTTATTGCATTATAGGTTTTGGGGTACATGTGAAGAACATGCAAGATTGTTGCATAGATACACACGTGGCAGTGTGATTTGCTGCCTTCCTCCCCATCGCCTATATCTGGAATTTCTCCCCATGCTATCTCACCCCAACTCCCCACCTCGTGCTGTCCCTCCCCTGCTTCCTCCCAACAGACCCGTGTGTGATGCTCCCCTCCCTGTGTCCATGTATTCTCATTGTTCAGTACCCACCTATGAGTGAGAACATGCTGTGTTTGATTTTCTGTTCTTGGGTCAGTTTGCTGAGAATGATGGTTTCCAGGTTCATCCACGTCCTGACAAAGGACACGAACTCATCATTTTTGATGGCTGCATAGTATTCCATGGTGTATATGTGCCCCATTTTCCCTGTCCAGTCTATCATCGATGGGCATTTGGGTTGGTTTGGTTCTTTGCTATTGTAAACAGTGCTGCAATGAACATTCATGTGCATATGTCTTTATAGTAAAACGATTTATAATCCTTTGGATATATACCTAGTAATGGGATTGCTGGGTCAAATGGAATTTCTTTTTCTTTTTCTTTGAGACGGAGCTTCGCTGTTGTTACCCAGACTGGAGTGCAATGGCATGATCTCGGCTCACCGCAACCTTCGACTTCTGGGTACAAGCAATTCTCCTGCCTCAGCCTCCTGAGTAGCTGGGACTACAGACGCGCACCACCATGCCCAGCTAATTTTTGTATTATTAGTAGAGACGGGGTTTCACCATGTTGACCAGGATGGTCTCGATCTCTTGACCTCATGATCCACATGCCTCGGCCTCCCAAAGTGCTGGGATTATAGGCGTGAGCCACCGCACCCGGCCAGAATTTCTATTTCTAGGTCCTTGAGGAATCGCCACACTGTCTTCCACAATGGTTGAACTAATTTATACTCCAACCAACAGTGTAAAAGTCTTCCTATTTCTCCACATCCTCTCCAGCATGTTGCCTCCAGATTTTTTAATGATTGTCATTCTAACTGGCCTGAGATGGTATCTCAATGTAGTTTTGATTTGCATTTCTCTAGTGACCAGTGATGATGAGCATTTTTTCATATGTTTGTTGGCCTCATATATGTCTTCTTTTGTAAAGTGTCTGTTCATATCCTTTGCCCACTTTTGAATGGGCTTGTTTGTTTTTTTCTTGTAAATCTGTTTTAGTTCTTTTTTTTTTTTTTTTCTTTGAGACAGATTCTCACTCTGTCACCAGGCTGGAGTGCAGTGGCACGATCCCGGCTCACTGCAACTTCCGCTTTCTGGTTTCAAGCAGTTCTCCTGCCTCAGCCTCCCAAGTAGCTGGGACAACAGGCACGCACCACCAAGCCTGGCTAATTTTTTGAACTTTTAGTAGAGATGGGGTTTCACCATGTTGGCCAGGATGGTCTCAATTTCTTGACCTCATGATCCTCCTTCCTCAGCCTCCCAAAGTGCTGGGATTACAGGCGTGAACCACCGTGCCCAGCAATAAATCTGTAAATCTGTTTTAGTTCTTTGTAGATTCTGGATATTAGCCCTTTATCAGATGGGTAGATTGCAAAAATTTTTTCCCATTCTGTTGGTTGCTGATTCACTCTAATGACTGTTTCTTTTGCTTTGCAGAAGCTATGGAGTTTGATTAGGTCCCATTTGTCTATTTTGGCTTTTGTTGCCAATGCTTATGGTATTTTGGTCATGAAGTCCTTGCCTATGCCTATGTCCTGAATGGTTTTGCCTAGATTTTCTTCTAGGGTTTTTATGGTGTTAGATCTTATGTTTAAGTCTTTAATCCATCTGGAGTTAATTTTAGTGTAAGGTGTCAGAAAGAGGTTTAGTTTCTGGTTTCTGCACATGGCTAGCCACTTTTCCCAGAACCATTTATTAAACAGGGAATCCTTTCCCCATTTCTTGTTTTTGTCAGGTTTGTGAAAGATCAGATGCTTGTAGATGTGTGGTGTTGCCTCCAAAATCATCAGATTCACCAGGGTTGAAATGAAGGAAAAAATACTAAGGGCAGCCAGAGAGAAAGGTCGGGTTACTCACAAAGGGAATCCCATCAGACTCACAGCAGATCTCTCAGCAGAAACCCTATAAGCCAGAAGAGAGTGGGGGCCAATATTCAACATCCTTAAAAAAAGACTTTCAACCCTGAATTTCATATCCAGCCAAACTAAGCTTCATAAGCAAAGGAAAAATAAAATCCTTTATGAACAAGCAATTACTCAGAGATTTCATCACCACCAGGCCTGCTTTACAAGAACTCCTGAAAGAAGCACTAAACAGAGAAAGGAACAACCAGCACCAGCCACTCCAAAAACATACGAAATGGTAAAGAGCATTGACACAATGAAGAAACTGCATCAACTAACAGGCAAAACAGCCAGCTAGCATCAAAATGGCAGGATCAAATTCACACATAACAATATTAACCCTAAGTGTAAATGGGCTAAATGCCCCAATCAAAAGACACAGACTGGCAAATTGGATAAAAAGCCAAAACCCATCAGTGTTCTGTATCCAGGAAACCTGTCTAACATGCAAGGATACACAATGGCTTAAAATAAAGGGATGGGGTTGGGCATGGTGGCTCACACCTGCAATCCAAGCACTTTGGAGGCCAAGGTGGGCGGACCACCTGTGGTAGGTGGTTCAAGACCAGCCTGACCAACATGGTGAAATCCCATCTTTAAAATAAATAAATAAATAAACAAAATAAGAATTAAAAATAAAGGGATGGAGGAAGATTTACTAAGCAAATGGAGAGCAAAAAGAAGCAGGAGTTGCAATTCTAGTCTCTGAAAAAATAAACTTTAAACCAACAAAGATCAAAAGAGACAAAGAAGGACATTACATAATGGTAAAAGGATCAATGAAACAAGAAGAGCTAACGATCCTAAATACATACGCACCCAATACAGGAGCACCCAGATACATAAAGTAAGTTCTTAATGACTTACAAAGAGACTTAGACTTTCACACAATAATCGTGGGAGACTTTAACACCCCACTGTCAATATTAGACAGATCAACAAGACAGAAAATTAACAAGGATATCCAGGACTTGAACTCAGACCTGGACCAAGCAAATCTAATAGACATTTACAAAACGCTCCACCCAAAATCCACAGAATATACATTCTTCTGAGCACCACATCATACCTACTCTAAAATTGACCACATAATTGGAAGTAAATCACTCCTCAGCAAATGCAAAAGAACAGAAATCATAACAAACAGTTTCTCAGACCACAGTGCAATCAAGTTAGAAATCAGAATTCTGAAACTAACTCAGAACCCCACAGCTTCATGGAAACTGAACAACTGGTTCTTGAATATTGACTGGATAAACAATGAAATGAAGGCATAAATAAATATGTTCTTCGAAACCAGAGAGAATGAAGATACGACATACCAGAATCTCTGGGACACATTTAAAGCAGTGTATAGAGGAAAATATATAGCAATAAATGCCCACATGAGAAGCAAGGAAAGATCTAAAACCAACACCCTATTATCAAAATTGAAAGAGCTAGCAGAACAAGATAAAAAAAAAAAAACTCAAAACCTAGCAAAATACAAGAAATAAATAAGATCAGAGAAGAATTAAAGGAGATAGAGACACAAAAAACCCTTCAAAAAAACAGTAAATCCAGGAGCTAGTTTTTTGAAAAGATCAACAAAATAGATCACTAGCCAGATTAATAAAAAAGAAAAGAGAGAATAATCAAATAGATGCAATAAAAAATGATAAAGGGGATATCACCACAGATTCCATAGAAATACAAACCATCATCAGAGATTACTACAAACAACTCTATTCACATAAACTAGTAA